CCCACTTTTAGCTCATTTCCCATGCAAACCACCTAGAACTTCTTCAAAAGTAAATCATCTTCTTCCCAAAACCATTTCAGGAAAAATCCCAAAACAAAACTTCTTAGACCTCGTCATTTTGAAGAACAATCAAGGACTCGAAGTGCTATCAACAAAGGTAAAGAGTTAAATACATTGTTTTAATATTTTAAACTATTTTGTTCATCTTTCTGCACATTTACATCTTCTTTTGAACCCAAATTCTGGAGTATCTATGATGGGAGATTATACACCAAAGACATGAAAATGTCTTCAAAAAGGGGTAATAATCTATGATCTATAGGCTTAGAACTCAAGAAAAGGGGGTAAAACCACATTGCATGTTGATTTTGACCCTAAAAAGGAACATTTTGAGCTGTCAGATTCTTACTAAAGCTCGCATCGTCCATATCTCCCAAAATAAAAGCACAAATGTTAAGATCTTTCTTTTAAAAATATATTTCATTGAGTTGAGGTTCTTTTTCAACTGGAATCATGCAAAAATATGGAGCTTTGACCTCTTAAACACTTAGAACAAGTTAAGTACGCAAATAGTAGGTTCAACAGTAGGTGAACCCTACTTTGAACACTCATAACTTTTTGATAACTTTTCTAAAACATTTGATTTTTCTTCTAGAGTTTACTTGGATGAGTTATTGTTCTTATGTTTTTGGTTTCACTCAAAAATATTGAGTTTTGAGCACCTAAATTCTTGATACAAGTTTATGGTGCAAAAAGATAATTTCGGGCAGAACCTTGCATGCATGTTCAAAGTAGCATAACCCTCTCAAAAATCAATAAAAATGTGAAATTTATCTTCTGGAAGCTTTGTTTATAAGTTAAGTTTACAATCCAAGTGGAATCATCGAAAAACTCTAAGTTTAGACCTTCCATTTGACCACAAGTTTGACAAGGTGTAATCTGTCTAGACTGTTCTGAGGTGTAAAAATGTGTTGGACATTTGAATGACTAAAACACTTTCAAAATGTGTGAAATTTGGACAAAATATGTTTAACTCAGTGACATTTATGGTATAAAAATTCTTGACACAAAATAAGTCATGGAAGGTACCTTTTGACAAGGATTCGTGAGACCAAAATTTCAGAAACCGAATTAACTTCTGTCCAAATTGTAATTTTTAGGTGCAAAGGACTTTAACTTGAAAAATACAAATATTGGACTATTTTAAGAACAAATTATATAAATATCAAGTTTAATCCACAAAAACATGTTGGCATTACATAAAATATAATTTGACTTTATCCTTATCGGGACCCGATAGGTGATGTGATCATGAAATTTCGGACATTATAGGAAAGTTTAGGCTGGACGTCTAGTGCTTCAACACCATCCAGTTTTGGTTATTCGCTAGCAAACAGATGAGTATTCACGGCCCCACTTTTACTGCTTTCATTTATTTAAACTGGGGGAAAAGGATGAAAAAATGCAAACTATGCTGTTTAGTTTTAACCTGTTGAAGTCATGAAAATTGACTTGTACTGCACTATGGTATAAATGGTAAATTAATGTACTTGAGAGGATATGTTTTAAAAAGTCCCCTCCCGTAAACGCTACTAGTTAACTCGGGCACGTTCCCGGGCCATGGTAATTGTGGATAGCCGCTATTGTGTTGACAGTCTCATCCAAAAATGGGTGCACATTACCTAAATTTAATAGATCTACACATGTGTGCGAACGAGCCACCGCTGAGGTAGTTCTAAGACGAACCGTGGTACCTAAGTGAGCAAGCGGGCCACTTAAAGGTAGTTCGTATTGATATAAGGGGCACATTGGTCAAGTGAGGTTCTGTAGCAGCTCAAGTTTTAACGTCATTAAAAAAATTTATTTTACCTTGTGTATGTTTTCGTAAATAGTTTGCAAGATTGAATTTTGTGCATTATAAAGTATTTTGTGCATAAAAACACTCGTGGACTCACCAACTCTTTGTAGTTGACGTCGTTTTATGTTTCATGCTTTTCAGGAAATTAAGTAAGAACTGACGTCATGGATGCATTTTTGCGATAACACCTGTTCACGAGTTTTAGAAACTTCTTTCTGCAAACACTGTTGTCTTCATCGAGAGTAGTTTGGGTATGGATTTGTAAACTTTTGAATTTTGAACTTTAATGGTGTTATCTATTAATTGGTGCTATGAAACGCTTACCTGCTACACCTCGTGTTTCCGCTTTAGCGGGGTGTGACATAGAATAATAATAATCTAGATCTCTTGAATTCTCGAATCTACATTCTCTGCAAAGTTACCAAGCTTGCCACAATTAAAGCACCTGGGTACTTCCTCATCAATTTTCTCTTGAACCTTATCTTTTTCTTCTCTTTTCTCATACTTCTTCTCAAAACCTTTCAGCTCAGAATTGTGTTTCTTATTCACTGTTGCCTTTCTTGTAGTAGTTCACTTTAATCTTTCGTTAAGGGCTTTTGATAACAGTGCAAGATTTTATGATATCCGAATCTGAAGTCCCACTATCAGAATTTGGATCTGGATCTATCTTAGGAATTTCAACAATCTTTGATGATCTCTTATAGCTTAATTTGTATTTTTTTGTCAAAGATCAAAGCTAGAGAATCATTCACCTTCTTATTTTCAGTCAATCTCTCTCTCTCACACCTTATTTTCATGTTGGTTGAGAATACCATAGATATCATGGATATTCTTCTTAGTAAGGTTTTTGGTTAAAAGATTATCTACAAAACTGTCCCATCTTGGCCTCAAGTTCTTCAAGAACTTATCATTAATTTCAAAGTTGATTTTCCTAACACCATTTCTTCTCAAATCATTCAGGATATCATTCAATGTGTTGTATGTCTTAGACAGAGATTTAGACTCCTTTGCCTTGAAACCTTCATACGCTCCTATACAGATGTTGATCTTGTTCTAAAGTGCCTTTTCTCCTCCCTGCATTTGGGCCTCTACTTCATCCCACATTGCTTTTGCAGACTTCAGACTATCTACCCAGTTAAAGTTTTCATTAGGAAGTGCCATGGCTAGCAATGTCAAAGCCCTTCTGTCTATCTCTACTCTTATCTTCTTTTCTGCGTAATATATGCTTGGATCCTTTCTTATTCGAGAAGCATGAATGGCAGGGGTATTCTCTGTTCTTGGATAGCAAGAATCTTAATAAAAACTTCAAGTAGTCCTTCAATAATTGATTTCATCAATTTTTCATCAATGTTATCTAAGAATTGAACCATTCGAATTCTCCATTGATGGTACTTTCCAACGAACAGAGTTGGAGGTTTTATTTCAAATTCAATGCTCACATACTCTTTAGACATCCTGACAATAGAAATTTGGTTGATTCAACAATATAGAATTCTGAAGAAAAAAATGATCAACAACCAAGAATAATTGATCAAATCAAATGGAATTGATCAATCAAGTGGAAATGAATCAGGAGCTTAAGAGAATAGATTTTGAATTCAAGAGTCGATGGCTCTTATACCAATTGTAAATCTCGTAATAAGAATCTTAGTCAAGTATGTAAAAAACACAAAAGAGTATTAACAAAAAAAAAGTATTGGATCAAGGCAATCATCATGTGTATTTAATATCCAAGAATGGTTACATATGAATCTGATGAGAGAAATCTATTTGATCTGCATAACAAATCTATATTTACAAACTCTAACTAACTCCTATATATACTGGAATGGGAAAATTACAGTTACATGATTTACATGATGGCTAATTACATATTGACACGTGTTCTGGTACCATGGAAGAAATTTTCGTTTCTAGGAAGTTGTGATCTGAAAATCTTGTCCCTAACTCTTAATTGATCATTCAGATAGCTTTTACTCTTCTTTAGAACTCTGAATTCTGAAATTCAGAACTCTGAAGGCATTTTAGTTCATCTTCCGAACTCTGAATTATGGATCTTCAGATCTCTGAAAGCAACTCTTCAGAGATAACACTTGGAGGATCTTAAGCAACTTCTACCACTTCTACAATATATGTTTTATAATTTACTAATAAAAGTAATAGATAATTAAATAAGTCGGTATCACGGTACTACTGTTGATACACGGCTTTCAATACCTTGTACTAATCGGGTTTGCATAACCGGTGCAGTATTACCAGTAGACTATAACCACTACCAACAGAATTGACACAGTTAATTAACTTATTGGTTGGTTTGGCTTAGTTGAAAATTGTCACCTCTACTTTTGTTGAAACATCTTCAAATTTCCAAGATATATCCTTCTAAACTTTCTAGTGAAAATCTTTCTAATTAACACTCACAGAAAATAACGTTAGTTTATTTAAGGGTTGGATTTTTCTGATAGTTCGTATACTTTAAAAACTTTATCAAATATTTTACTAATGCAATATCTTTCAAAACTTCGTTACAGATAGTGTTTGAAGGATATCGTTGCTATCAAAATATCGCAATTAATTTTTAGAGAATACGAGACTTATCCCAACATCAACGATTCGACAAGAGGTTGCTATCAAAACATCGTAATTGTTAAAATGTGGTTGCATCTGTTCATAACTCTTTTCTTTCTAAGAGGTGGAATTCATACCTTTCAAAATGTTTGGTAAAGTTATACACAAAACTAAAAATATTAAAAGAGAATTCTAAATTCTTTCAAGTTTTTAATATTAAGGTTGATTATTAATTGGTAAAAGCATAAATTAAGATCCAAGACTTCAAAAACCAACTTTTATGTTTTAAAGAAGGATAAATTATATTAATTTTAAAAACATAATACTTTTCTTTGAAAACGGGTTTGGGGGGAGGGAAAACTGTATTTCCCTTGTTACTTCTCTGTCCATCAATTACGTGAAGCCACATCATCCATTTATTAAGAGAATCAACAGATGAATCAGATATAATTAAAATTAAATAAAAGGATAATGTGTCTTCAAGTAATTGGTGGAACAATAGATTTTCGTGATCTGTTCGATACAAGTAGAAGAACCGACACTATAGTTAAAAAAGGAAAAAAATATAGAGAGGAATACAATATTTTTGTATCTCGAATCCATGACCTTTTTGTCGTATGTACGAGTACATATAGGAATTTAAAAAAGAGAAAAGCTTGCATATATAATAAATATAACAACTACAAAAACTTGTTACAATCAGGCAATAAAGGTAACCACTAAAAAGGCAAATAAAAGGATGCCAAAAATGGATGGTGAACGAAGAAAACCAGAGCATACATGCAAAAATTCCACAAGCAGTAATGCAAACTTATACATACCTTAATTAACACATTAGAAGGTCGGTTTCTTTAAACGAAAGCAAGCCGTTTCAGAGGCTATGGTTTCTGAGCTGCTCGATCGTCAGGGCCACCAAGCATGATCTGCGATTGTTAACCATTCACAGTTTCAAACATCGTTTTCATGGCGGTACAAATGTCAATTGACAAGATTAGAATGAATTTGAGGCTTTTACGTTGCAATCAAAGGCAAATCTTCGTGCCAGCATAATAGCAGCATTTCTTTCTCTTTCTGATTCAAATGCCAGCACAAATGAGACCCCGATCTTTGGCTGCCAGAATGATGCTTGAGCTGCAGCATTTCCACCACCCCTAACGCCGCACAGCTGCATTTTCAGAACATTACAAAAAAATAAACCACGGGATTAGTGATTAGTGAGGTGCATAGAGGTTGTAAGCTCGAATCGTACATTACATTTACGTACGTATATACCTGCATTGAAGAAGAATAGTACTCTTTAGCCACTGTTGTTTTGCCTTTACAAAGTTTCATCCTCATTTTCCCCACATGAAGTACATGAACAGACTCTGAAGGATGGTCCACTCCATTCATTTGGATTATAACAACCTGCAATATATTATATAAATATCACAACGTTTTTCTTTCATTCAAGCAATCCATGTTCCAGATAATATATTATATAATCAACATTCAAAGTAAAAGATATGGGAACTGTATTATAATACAACAAAAACTGAAACAAGTCTAATGGGATACTTCAAAAACTATCCATGACATACGTTAAATTCTGTGTCATGTCGGCGCACCAATGCTTCCACATAGTTTCCTAGTCCTGCAGCTGTTTAAAACAACTATTTGTCAGTTGATCTATCATGGAGTCTAGTATAAAGCACCGACGTAGATTTTGCAAGCCTATGCAAATCGTTTCACAAGATGTAGATATATTATGCCGCTTTGGGGTGAGATGCAGATAGTTACATTTTCTAAATAATTGACTTGCATTGCAAATTTTGAACGAAAATGTGGGTTCGTCACTACATCATCTACTGGTACCAATTGCTAATGCACTGTGACTGGTTTTCATTTTTACTTGTTACAATCAGTGGCTAAGAAATTGGTGACTATTGTACCCACGAACAGTTAAAACTCTCGCAAAAGCAGGTGCATGAAGGTTCCTCCCTCAACTTCGTAAGGATTGAGGAGGTAATCCTTTGCACACAACCTTCCATCTGTATTTCACTTGAAAAATTCATTTGCTTCGCTTGCAACCCTCTCTGTCCCAAGATATCCTTTGAAATATGTGAAAAGGTTTCAAAAGTTGAAAATTAAGAGCATAATCAAGGTTTTAAAGTACAGAAACGTGAGGCAAGGCCAGGCATAAGCCTCAAGGTGGACTGAGGTGTAAGCCCCGAGACGAAAAACAAATAAAATTCATAACTATATATGTAAATATACACACACACTATGCACAGAACAGACATAATATATATATATAACACAATAAGCACACAACACAAACAATATATACATACAGCACACAGTGTATACACATGAAAAATATATATACACAATCACACAAATTACTGGTAGAAATATATATATATATATATACACACACACACACAAACAAAAGCTAAACACAGGAAAAATATATACACACAGTACATATATATATATATATCGAAAATACATGCATATATATATATATAAAGTACATGCACTGTGAAGCTTGAGGACAGCTGGAGATGGTAAAAGAGGGTGCATGTTACTTCTTTTACCGGAGTATAAGAGGGCAGCTAGGTTTGACTTACAATAATAATAAAAAGTAAAACTTTTATGGTTTTTTGAACTTTTTTTGATAAAAAAAAAACCCATCTTTTTTTACTTCAAATGAGAAAAGTGAAGTCTTTTAAAGTTTTTTGTCCTCTTAGCAAGTAAAAACGATCTGGACAGACTAGTTAGAAAAAGCTTACACCTCACCCCCTCCAAGACCGCCTCCGGTCACCAGGGCGTATGCCTCTTCCAGGGCTTAAGTGGCGCGACCTCAAGAACAGTTTTGGATCGTCTCGCCTCGAGGCGTATGCCTAAAACGTTTTTTAAAACCATCGCAATGATAACCATAATAATTATAAAATAGAGAAGCAGACAAAGTGATATCAAATTTCTGTAGCTTTTTCACTGCATATATAAACAAAAACATATATCAACTATATGATTAATTCTGATCATAGTATCAGTTACATCATTTCCATGAGAGGAAGATCAGATGTCACCATTCTAAATGCTCAAAATGCTTTAATTTAAATGTAACGGTGTTCTTTCAGTTTACTTTAATGAACTCCCTCAATTTTGACATTAATTTGTTAACATGCATGACAATTGGACAGGAGATGTAATTAGTATGGTTCTGCCTGTAGAGGTATGAATACGAGAAGACCATAGTTGTTCAGTGATTATTTATCTATTTGCCTAATAATTGAAAAACATCAGAAAAATGATAAAAAATCAAAGATCAACCTGGTTCGATGGAATCGGATGTTGTCAGTGTAACACTCTGACCATCTGAAATGACATCAACTTCCAGATATCGGCCAACATCGGAGGGCTCAGGAGCATAAATAGATTTGGTGGCCCCTAATAAATCCAAAAGCTGATGAGTTATGACATGAAAACAAATTGCGATAACAATAAGAATGAACATGCGATAAGTTCTAACTTCTAAATCATGATCAGCAACTCAAAATGTAAAGGGATACTGAATAAAGAGGTATGGAGGCATTATAATTTAAAAGTGTAAAGGGTTCCTAATAAAAGCTTGAAGGGAAGAAATGAAAATTACAATTATTGAACCACACAGTGCAGCATTGAAGGAGCAAATTCATGCAGATAACCTAATACCATAAGTTTTACCTATAAGAAGCAACATAATTGGAGAAATGCTGAACATCTATGAAACATCCACATAAGTTAATAAGCTTATCAATGCCTTGCTGCTTATCAGGCAATTTTGCCAATGCAGTATTTTATCTCCCTCACGGTAATAGAATCACAATTAAGACAAAGCTTTGGAATTGGAATCAACAGCTCGCTGGTTTGAAACTTGTATCTTATGGATTATTAAGAAGTATTCCATCTGCCCCACAAAATTTGCAGAGCAATCGACTGGGCACATAGGTCAGTAGAAGTGTCTTAATTTAGTCAAACACCCAAAAGATCCTTTAGGCTGCGTTTGGTACATGGGACACGACATGAAGGGACAATACAAAACTCATCATCCCATGTTTGGCGCAATATGGGACAGGACAAGGACAAGACCTCCGTGTCCCACGTTTGGCGCGACATGGGACAGGGACAACAACCGGACAAGATGGGACAAGAATGAGACAGAAACTAAAATATTACTAATCTGCCCTCGTTTGATATATAGCCTTAATATGGTATTTGTTTTAGTGGTCACCACCGCTAGTCGTGGCGCTACCACCACCCGCGGCCACCTCCACCTCATCTTCCACTACGACAACGTGTCAGCCACCTCCACTCCCACTACCACAACCTCCTCCACCACCTCACCACCGTCCATCGCCACCTCCACAACCATTGTCGGCCTCCGACCACCACCATCCATCGCCATCACCACTACCACCATTGGCCACCTCCACCTCCTCTACTACAACAACCTCCTCCACAACCACCACCGTCCATCACCACCACCGTGAGCCACCTCACCTCCACTACATCGACCACAACTACCTCCTCTACCATGTCAATTGCCACCATTTTCAACGTCATCCACAACCACCATTGTCCACCAACCACCACTGCCTCTACCTCCACAACCATCGTCGGCCATCGACCACCATCCCCCATCACCACCACCACTAGTACCGTCCGCATCACCACCATAACCACCACCACCATCGGTTACCACTACCACTGCCCACCACCACCACTACCTCCACATTGGTTACAACTACCTCTTCCACCGCTACCAAATACCATCTTCACATCCTCCACAACCACCGCCCATCGCCATCACCTCCACCATAACCACCACTACCTCCACCACATCACCCACAACAACCTCCTCCGCCACCTTCAACCGCCACCACTATCCACCATCTTCACGTCCACCAATCACTAATGCCTCTACCTCCACATCCATTGTTGTTGCAACAATATTTATCGTGCCTTCGCCAATTGATAAGGATCTTCCAAACCGAATAAAACATAACTTCTCCTTTGTACGAATCGGGTTTTTTCGAACTACCATCAATTATATCAAATTTTTCATTCAAATTTGGTACTATTATATATTTATGTAGTTATATATATGAGAACTGTGTAGAAGTGTTCATAAATCAAACTATTAAATTTTTACTTTATTTGTGTTAATTATAACCATTATTGATATATAAAATCATCAAATAACTTTTAGGAACAACTTATCTAGTTTTCTCCTGTCTAGTCCTAGTCGTACCAAACATACACACGTTTTGTCCAGTCCCGTCCAGTCCTTCCCTTTTGTCCAATTCTGTCTTATTCAGTCCAATCATGTTTGCATACCAAACGCTACCTTAATTATGACAACATATGGGAATCTCGTAGAACAAAATCAACATCATCAATAATTTGTAATTATGACGATGAAAAATATGAAACTTTAACTTAAGATTTTGCCAAAAGGTGCAAGATGAGACATCCCAAAAAGAAACTTGTGCCATTTATATGGGAGGGACGGGAACAAATAGAAAGGAAAAATAAGATTATTATCATTGTTACTAGATACAATGCACCAAAATTGGTGATCAAAATTGAAAAAAAAAATTGAACAAGGTTAAGAAGGAAAAAGAGCATCCGGAATCTCTTAGAAACAAAATATTCTAAGAGTATCTTCTATGGAGGTTCTTATAAGAACCTACTTTTTGTACTTTTTCTTGCCACATCACTTCCAACTAAGCAAATTAAGAACCTACATGAAAGTCCACAATGGTAATTCTTATAAGAACCTCTTTTGTGGGGCCCATGTGTCTTTTTAACATCAATATTATATATTTTTAATAAATATCAATATTTAATATAAAGAACTAATAAAATGTCACTTCACACCAAGTTCAAAGTAAGAACCAAGGTTCTTGTACAAGAACTCAAAGGAAGTGAGGTTCTTATAAGAACTCTTCCAATGCTAGTTCTTATAAGATTTTGCACTTTTTGTTTATAAGAACCTCGCATTGGAGATGCTCTAATGTTCATCATCTCCATAAACCTCATACTTCTCTAGAAAAATCAAACATAATTTTGTTGAATACAATTAACAATAAAAGAAATTATGAACAGAACTCCATTTTACAGAAAGTGCGACCTTCAGGGCCAAAATGGTTCGATCCCCTTGATTTTGGCAAAATGACAATTACCCGGTAAAGTAAGGTGAATGTATAATTTGATCAACTTCAAATGTTGAACTTCAAAAGCACCTTTGTTAATAGTTCAAGTATTCTATAGAATCAAAATTGACTTGATCAAAAGAAATTCTAAGAGCGAACTCATTCATAAGAGTTTAAGAGTACTTAAATAAGACATTGATATTAAGTCATAACAACATAAAGACGAAGAATGATGCAAAATAACTACCAATTTTATATCTTGCAGAGCACACGTCCATGGTATGCTCCCCTTCTATTTCCTTAATAGTTCCCATTTAGCATCTAGATTATCAATTATGAGAAATGGAAATAATGAAGGAAGTTCTAGGAACAACGGTTCTATTGCAACATAAATTTGTTCATCTAGAATTATTCTACCATGTCCATCATGGCTTAGTAGGGGGATCAAGCATTGTGTTTATTTTTTGCATTTCTAATTGATTATACGATTATATTCCTTAGTTGAGGAACTACAAGAAGTCTTATGCAATTAATAAGTCAAATAAATCGATAAAGAAACATTCATTTATGAATAAAAAATTAATTTTGTGAGACAATTTCCAAGAATAAAAGAATACTATAATTGACACTAGAAATATGAAAAGGATAGATCATTTGAAATCAAGGAAATCTGCAGAACATTGCTCGTCTAAGCATCTTAAGAATTTGTAGTTAACCTCTCATATAACTAACAGTGAGCAGAGGTCAAGATTGTGTGGATGGTACAAGTATTCATAACTAAGAGTTTAATGAATCAACATATGGTGAAAGATCTATGATTGTAAACTAAAGGAGCAATCAACTAGAAAGCATTTAGATTTGTGAGATTGCACCTCAATTGAACTAAACGGATGTGATTAATATGAAATTAATGAATCTCAGAATTCATAAATCCAAGTGATATCGAAGTTCGATGATTATTTTGTCTATTTTGCCAGGTATCACAATCTTACTTTTCATATGTTTACATAATAGATCTTCTTTTAAAATTTATATCCTTAGATGATTTGCTTATGCGCCCGTTTAATCAACATTCGGCTACTAAGTACTAACTCAACTGCCTAGCTCCTTTTAACAGCTTTTAGAAATTTTGTAGTGGACATGGTTCTTGTTGATATTACCCTTGCCGATGAAATGTGTCGTAATTTGAGTTGTCAAAGGCAAGCTCTGCCTTGCGGTTGTATTTAAGGATGGATGGAAAAGCAAGGGCTTTGGTTTCCGAAACAGGAGACCAATTATCTGCAAACCTTTGAACAAAGTTTGAACACTCGCCAAAGGGTCATAGTCCCAACGGCACCCGGGTTACTGGTTAGAGCCCAGCTTCTTAGGAGGTCAAGGGTTCACACCTCAACAAAGATGAGAAGTGTGTGTGAGTATTTGAAGTGCATAAATATTATATACTTTAAAAAAGTCTGAACACTCTCCAACTTTCTCCGTATGTGGTAGATGTCTGAAGAGAATAGTTTGTATAATTTAAAACTGGATCTAGGGGTTGTGATGAAAAAAAGGTAATGACAAGATGGGGTTGTGATGGTTGTTAGCGGTGTGCTGGTTGCAGTGGTAGAGATCAACTGGAGATGGACTGATAAAAGGTAAGAAAAATTTAAGCTAAAATTTTGAAAAGGCTATCAGCAAAGGGTGAAATAGTTATTTAGGAAGTTGTATAGCATCTCTTTACATGACATCTGCGGTGATGAGTATATTCAACAGTCTCGATTAAGTAATAAATATATATAACTTGATAGGCCACAAAAAATCTATAGGCAGATTTGTGTTAGACCCTGATTGTATTGACTTATGCTAGAAAGAAGAAGGCACACCAGCAGGGTGGGGGAAATCTTTAGAACCGTGCAGCTCAGGAATGGTGGTGGTCCAGGTGAAAGAAGGGAATCTAAAGATATTGGTTAAGTTTGTTAGGAGGGAGTAAATAAAAGAGAGGGGAAGAGATTGTAGTGGGTATGAAAAAATCATTAAGATTTGAGCGGCTTGGGAACTCGGGGCAGACTCTGGAGTTGTTGCCTGAATTCTTTCCTTTTTGATCATTTTTCCATATAATCCACTAACCCACTTTTGCATCTTCTTTTCTTTTTTTCTTCTTTTATATCAATTATTGTTCCCGGATTGACTAGTGAGATTTGCGGGTCATATCAATTTGATGGATTGAAAATATATTGGTGCCTAAATACCTGAAATGATGTCCCTGTTTCCACCTTCAGATGTCAAACGGTACCACTGAATCGAACATTCTGAAAGCTCGGGGGCTCTATCTGAACATGGTTGGATCTGCAAGTAGGAACCCAAAGCAGATGTACCATCTAATTCAAACAAGTAGGATGCATTCTCCTCCCCCCTCTTGCTGATTGCCAACTGAAATTGGAGAAAATAAAATAATCAAAATCAGCAAGCAACTCAACCAAACTTCATCAAACCTCCTTTCCATTAATCTGAAATTACTCTTTGCCCATTAGCAACTACAACAAAACATCAATAATATTGATTTTGCTTCACAAGATTCCTCTACCTTCCAATCGTTGAAGGGTACTTCAAATATCAGCTAATAGTCAAACGCTTGTGTACGGTTAAAAGTTACATTTCTTATGGGTGGATGAAGTATAATTTCAACTAAAATGCAACTACCTAATAAAAAACTTGAAAGTTTAAAATAGACAGGGAAAAGCATTACAAAATCTAAAAATAGTATATCTTTTGAAGGATATTGTAGTGAAAATGAAAGCTATGGATGAAAGATAAGAACATAACAATTATTAGACCTCCCTACCAAAGGAAGAGCCCATATTTGACCTTTTAGTGCCAAATGATTACTATCTAACTTAATTGACAAAAAGGGTACATCATGATGTAGAAGAATTTGATGACTACATTTAACTAAATAGAGAAAATTAAATAGAAACACTTTTTGAGCTAAATCTAAGAAACCTATGTCAATGTTGAATTTGTTAAGCACTTGGTTTGAACCTCTACATCAGAAGTGACTCTCTTTCGCAGTACCAAAAAGTAAATTTTAATGGAAGTTACAAGCAACTCAATGTTCTTGTCTAATAAGCATTATGTATTGAGATGAGCAACGAATACCATATAAAATAAAGACAATGTGTCTTACCCCAAACTGTAACTCTGTTAGAATCATATGCCAAATATTTTAGTCACACAATTCAATTTGATTCATGGAGCATAACTGTAAATCCCATTAATAGAATCCTGCCTGATTCGCCATTGTGTTGGCGATTCACCCGTCTTTGTGGGATGTGTGTAAGTTTATTGATTCAGAAATTACTAGCAGCATCACGAACAACCAAAGAATAATGCAGCAAGCCAACGCTTCCAGTATTAATACAAGTTTATCTTCATTTATACATCACTATATGCTTACTTTTCGTGTGCTTCGTACTTTCATATTTACATATCACATATTATTTTGGAAAAATTTAACATGAATGTACGATTTAGCTCATAAATCGTAGTTCATTAAAATAGTGATCTTGATCGATCAACAAATTGATGACTCCCAAAACATTTAGGGATAGACTATAATTGAGATTCACCATAAACTACAGCAAGGTGATCTAAAGCCCAAGGCCAAAAGGGTTGATATCCTTCCTTGCTCCCCTGTCTAGGGCAACACCTTTGGTTGTCAGTTCAATCAAATTTCATTACGTCCAGCAATGTTACTAGCCTACCCTTACATCTTCTACCACTCTCTTCCAGGTACATTCTTCCCTCCTCACCTTAGTAAGCAAAGGTCAATATTGATAACGACCAAACCATCTCAAGCGTATTCAATTGTTTTCTCCTTGGCAGGTATCATCTACATTTCTCTATGATTTCCTCGTCTGTTAGTAATAAGTCCACAAAATTTAGGGAAACACATACTGCATCGGCAGGGTATAGTCTGTTTTGAAGCAGAGAGAATACACAACACGTCTTTAGGCCCCACCCAGCGGTTCCTATCCATTGTCTGTCCTTTCTTTGCTTCAGCACACCTATGTGATTACGTAAATCCCGTTCCACAATATAGATATACATATATGCACTTATGCACATATACTATTAACATGGATATAGTTATCACAGTAGGTCTGTAGATCACAGAGCACATCTTCAACCATTCCAAAGCCTCAAGCTGGGAAGATATGCAATATATGCCAACTTGAATGTTACAAATATGGATCACTCAGCAATCATTCAAACAGTAAGACTGGAAAACAATTGAAACCACCTCTTTCTGAAGCTCGATTGAACGCTTTGACTTCTCTACCAGTTGAACTCGTAATGCTTGAAGCTCATGTTCCATGTCCATAACCTGCATATATAACATTTAACATTACTATATACTTTTTTCATCTTAAACGTGTAAAACATTGTGTCTCAACATAACATGAAACAACTAAAGCCAGGGGTATGCAGCTGATTTTGATTCAGCAATTTATTTAAAGAATTAAGACATCAAATGTACTCATATATGATCATTATTGTGTTCTAACATTATTGTGTAGAAAGGATCTAATGTTCTACTAAACTTTTGTCAAAAAATCTCGTATTTATCTAAGTTGTTGCTCCATGGATTCAACACTTATTTGCCCCTTGCATAACCCTTTGAGGCCTTTGTACTTAGCCCACTCATTAACACTACCCACATATAAAAATGTGAGGGGACTCAAAAACATACAAAAGCAAATGATATTTTTATTTCTCTATCAATTTGTTAAGTTACAATTGAACAAAAGTAATGAATTTGGATATTGGTATATAGCATACGTGGAGATGCAACACAGGGATTTGTTCATTTATTGGCTACATGTGTATTTGCATTGGCTAATCATAAATGTAGACAAAATTCTCCAAACAAGTTTGAAAATTAACCCATGAATATAATGTTTTCAAGATGATAATTAGCGTTGCCTCAGGTGCTTAGTTTACTGGGCAGTACAGCAGTGTATGCACCTTGCTGGGTCGATGCAGCATTTTGATCCGCCTGGCCTCTTGAACCTCCTTCATTAGTTCTTCCAAGTCCTAGATATCAAACAAAATACATTCCGGTCCCGATAAATAAGTTAGATAAATGCATTAAGAATTAACATATGCACCCTATTTGATGCTCAAAACTCCAATCATACACAAACATATGTATATGAGTATCACATATGAAACAAAGGGATATACCTTCAAGGATGCAATAATAACAGCCAAAAAAGAAGAATGAACCGACAAAATAAACAACTGTTGCTTAATGATCTATGAAATGAACTTTGTGATTTAAGAACTTAGTAGCTAAAGAAAAATCTTAACCTTAAACTGTATAAACAAAGAACGTCATGGCAGAATGATAGCCACATCAAATAAGAGCAATCAAACCGATGTCTGTGAAGCTGAATCAATTTACACCAACTTTTACTTTTAGTTTTGGATCACTACTTTGGCTCAATTTTGGCAGGTTTTACATAATCACGCCCTTCTTTATCCCTAAAGATAGGATGTCCTAACCATCCAACCGCTATATGTAAGTTGCCATATGATATTGCCGTATTGTCATATTATGGAGTGGCTTTCTACAACAAAACTATCTACAAGACTTAATCCCAAATACCACGCTACTTAAGCAGTCGGCATTAACACTCAGAGCTTATAATTATAAAACCATAGAATTATTTGCATCATGCCTAAAGGGAATAACAGTGGCAGTGTACATGCAAATGCATACTCCAATCAAAACATAAATGATCTAGACGTCATTCAAAAGTTCCCTATATGGAAGATCCATAACAGAGGACAATTGACTAAGTTATATTTATTTATTTTTTTCTGAGTTGACAGAGGACTAACAAGGTCAAAGATATGGAAAGTAAAAATCTAAGCTTTACACCCCCTCGATCCATGATTAGTTGTTTCTTTTGACTTCAAAGTCAAATAGAATGTATAGAACTTAAATTAAATGAATTTATGGAATGTAGATAGAAAAAATTACTGATGCACTAAAACTTGCAAAAAGTAAAATGTTGATTTAGACAATGCAAAAGGCTCCATGGATTATTTCAGTCTGGAAAGCATAGATTTGAATTTGACATTCAAAACCAAACGAGGATAGTTAATTTGGGCAGAGGGGGTAACATCTTAAAACACTTTTATGATCAGGTATAACATCTCGATATCCCATGAAAGGATTCTGTTTCATACAAAATTTAAGAGTTAAAATAAAGCTTTAAAATTGAGGCGTAATCAGATGTTCCAACACTATGTACATTTGTTCATTTTCTTGTGGGCCATTAATTACTTTTGTCCAGAGGAAAGGCCTTTAAGTTTATTTTATGAAATTCTTGGGAGACCTTGTTTTGGTTGCTCCCATCAAATATTAGTATTGTATACAGAACTTTGATTGGTAGCTCCTTTTTCTACTCTACACATTTTGAGACTGTCCAGAAAAAATCCAAAGGCGGGTGACTTTACCTATCTGCCAAAACTTCTAACAGATACATGGGTTTGCAACAGCTGAAGGATAGAAAATACTCTATCCATCAATTGCAAATGGATGTTGCAAAAACACCTGCTGTAAAGGAGAAGTCTAGATGTGCTTCGTGCAGAAAACTTTCTATCAGATGCTAGAAATGCATCATTTTCTCTTGAAACCTGAGCTAAAAATAGTTTAACAAGGAAAGGCAACCAATTAACGTGGGTTGGAGGAAGTACTATTTTATAACAAGTGTGCATGTGTCTCAAGCAACACACAAAATCGTCTTAAAAATATAACGTTCCTCTACATCGACCAGGTCTCCACTTCTGCTCTATGAAAAACACCTAACAATTGCTTCAGGTTCTTTCTTAACTCATTCAAAAGAAGGGTCTATTTCACTATATCATGGTCAGATTCTACTATCAGTTCTCAACTACCGTCACACAAAAAGCCAAAAGATATTAAAATGAGGAAAAAAATGTTGTAAGCATATCTAGCCTAATATGCATTCAGGTATTGTTGAAAATAGTGATACGAAACAATGATATGCAAAACAGAAAATTCTGGAGTTTCTGACACGGCCGTACCTTATGATCCAGCACGACCGTGCGTAATGTTATTTTGCAAACAAAAACTTTTGGGTGTTTTGACACAGCCGCACATTATAATTTGTCCTGGCCGTGCGTAGTGTTATTTTGCAAACAGAAACTTTTTGGTGTTTTAACACGCCCACACCTTATAGTTCTTCCTGGCCGTGCACAACGATAAGGATGATTTTCTTAGCTTTTAGCATTGGGATCAAAGTGGGATTCCACCTATGGATTAGTATCAATAAACCCCTTGAGTTCCATCACGATAGAGAACAAAATTGAGAGCTTAAATGCCCTAGTTCGTGTGGAGAAAATATTGAGAGAGATTATACACAATTTAGTGTTCGGTTTGTAATTTCTCTTCGGTGTTTGGGCGCTCTTCATCCATAAAAGTTCCTCCTCTTCCCTTGGACGTACATCACCATACCAGTGGTGGAACCACGTAAATCTTTGTATTTTGTGTGTTTTCAGAATTCTTTGGTTGATTGATCGTTGTGCTTTCGATCCTACTTTGTTATCCGCATTTGTTGTTGGTTGGCATCACATATTTGATTGTCATTGAATAAAGTTCATTACTTTATTTTGTTTTTGGGACCTTTGTGGTGTCCAAAACCCCAACAGGTATAACCCATATATAAAATATCACAAAAAATATGACACTGGTCACACTCGATTTCTGCAATTGTTATGAACATAGGCAAAAGAGTGTTCCAAAAATTCCAACCAAAGAACCTGAGTTCCAGAAGCTTGGGATATTCTTTCTTGCTCCTGAAGAGCCTCTTCCACTCTCTGAACCGCAGCTCTGGCATTCTCAATTTCAGTCCGTGCAAAAGCTCTTTCTTCATCAACAAGCTTTTTAGCATCTTCTGAAGCCTGCATCAAGAGCAAGTAACAAAACTGAGAGGATAACCAAAAGAAATATGTTTTTCTCAAGGGGGTGTAGATTAATAATGGACAGAAATGACCATATAAAATAGAAGTCAGATGAAAAACAATAATAAGCTAAAAACACATTCATGATGTATCAAATAAAGTCTTGCGGGTCTCAGATGAAGAAACCGACGCTTTGGAATGAGTAGTAAATATCAGAAGACTGACCTAAACTAGAAGCATAAAGCAAAATGATTTGTTGAGATCCACTTTATAAAGCAAGTCTTCCAGAAATGACCTCTCAGGACAGGAACTCAAAACAATAAAAGCATTGATATCCATACATAGTATATAAATAAAATTCCTATTGATGCAGCTTTAGTAGCGAGAATGTAGAATTGTACTTAAATAAATGTGATGGACATAACACACTTGCAATTTTAGTGAATCTTGTAGAAGGAGAATTTTCTATTAATACACTAACAAATAGAAGAAATCTATAATTATTTTGTTTTTATAGTAATGCTAGTGGGTAAAATTTTGTGGAATAAAAGCTATTCAAACATCTTCATGAACAAGTAGAATAGGATTAAGTCATATATGCATATTTCTTGTACATAAGCACTCAATTGCTTTAGCTAAGATAGTAAGTGGCATCACTTACATTTAAGAAAGAAAGTCTTACAGGAACCTAAAACAACAAATTACTGCAAATCTTCACAAACCTGCTTCAAAAAACTTGCAAGCTTTTTAACCTCAGCCTTTTCTTGAATTAGCTCTCCTTCTCTCTGAGTCAACTGAACAGCTAAAGCTTCAACCTATAATGGCGATTTGAATAGGCAAACATCATCAATTACTGCAAACTGATGGAGATAAAGATGAAAATGCTTTAAAAGGTCAAGCAACGGATATAGTGCCGTAAATCATTTCAAAGAAAGAATATGTTACAAGAAACAATAACGGAACAAAGAACCAGGAAAAATTTAGAGAAAAAAGTAGGACTAAAAAAGAAACACGAAACTAACCATGGCAATAGCCTCCTCTACATCGTCCTTGTTTTTACCCACCACACGCCCTCTAAGTGATTCAAGTGCATCTCTAAGCTTCTTTAAAAGAACATGTTTCTCTAGACAAACCACATCCCTGAGTTTAGCCTGTTCATCACATGTAAACAGCTTTCAGTATAATGGAACAGTTTCAACTATCTAAAAGAGGGCTTTTTAACATGATGCACACTTTCAGAGAGCAAACCTCATCAGATATTTTTGCAGCAGCAGCTAAACCTTTCTCAAATTTACTAGCCAGATCACGAACAGAAAGGCGCTTTTGTTGTTCTAACAACTGGGCAGTCTCTCTGGCTATGACTTCCTGCATAGAAACTAACTTTCCCTCTTCTCTTCCGTTCAGAATTTGGTCATTAGCTCCGATTTTGTAGTTCGGAAATCGAGTAGAGGCAAACATCACATCTGCAGACACAGGTGGAACTGCCAAGCTTTGCATTGTATAGCTAAAGTCACGGCCTACCCTTGTCATAGTTCTGATTTATATATTAATCTGTCAAAATATACTAATCAGAAAGGTCATAATATCATGTCCAAAAGGCTTTTAGCAACCAAACAAGCCAACATTTCTCCCTTTCAAAAAATAAAAACGAGTTATCCTCGTATCCATGGTCAAACCCATCACTTGCAAAAGATAAATGTAACAACAAATAGATGGTTTAATTAATGAAGTAGGAATCCGTGAAAGATTTCAATCAAAATGGTTCACTTGATCGGAGAAGACAAATGAAACTCCATCTTCATGGCGGAAATGGAGTGATTTGCTTATCTAATATAATTTCTGTCTTCCAACTGCAATGTTAGTTACCATCCACCAACCTAATTTACATAAGACAAACCTTAAAACCGAAACCCTAAAAGCAAAGTACAGAAATACAATCAAAAAGGGCTAAACAAAAGAAAAGGCAGCACATTGGAAGAACTTATATGCTAGATAATAGCATTAATAAATATGCAAAATCGATGAACCCAGGAATTATCAGTATGAAAGGGCAAAACCCTACTAAAAATTGGAAAATTTTCAAATCGTAATCAGAAGTTGTTACCGAGCAAAGCAAGCGAACACAAATGGAAAGTAAATTGGAAGATCGTGAAGAAAAAAGAAGAATGCACTTACATAACATGTAAACAGAGGCAAAAGTCAATGGTTATGAAGATTTGAACCGGTTAGAACAGTCAAAAGGAAAAGATCAAGGAGAAAGACAGAACTGGGAATAATATAATGAATTGATAAAACCAATTTGATGATTTGGGTCTAAAGTGGAGTGGAGATGTATCGTACTACTATTACGCTCATGATTCATGAATCATCATGATGCTGTTGGTTGTGTTTGCTTGAATTACAAAAAAGATGACATGGGACCCACTAGTGTTGTTCTTTCTCCTGGATTTTACTACTTTTTATATCCTTTTTATGTGGGATAGTAACGAAAATAACCAAAAAAAAATTATCAATTACATTTTTAACCCTAAATTTTATAATTTTCAACTTTTAATCACGGATTACTCGGTTAGCACCATTTGATGCGTACAGGAACCAAAATGCGAAAAAAAAAAGTTATTATATCAGGTTTCTCTTTCATAATGAGATACATATGTTCTAATCCACTTTTTACAAAAAAAAATTATATTCTCCAAATTCTCAAGGATCAATGTCTGTGATTAAGAAAGTTAGAGTATGTGTTTTTTGTGGAGGTTCGTGGCAGTTAGTCAACGACGTGGTAGGTTATATTCCAGAAACGCAAAACATTGTTGTATTGTTGCCGATACACTTAACATTTCCAAGTTTTATCAATTATTTAGCTAGAAAATTAAATTTACTTGATTTTCAAAATCGTTTTAAGTTAACATATAAATCTCTGTTATCTGGTTTGATTGTCGAGTTGTTTGACAACGATGGTACGAGACAATTTTTGGCTATTGGTTTGGGTATCTCACCGCAATCCTTAAGATTGTACGTTTGCGACTGTGGTGTTGAAAACAATCAATCGAACTCAAACCAAGAGATTGTTCCAGCCACTATGTATAAGGTCGAGCACCCTCAGTATATACTTACACTCGTTTCATGTGTGCCAAACCAATGTGAGACAGGTTACAGTCAAAACATATTTCCACTCATTTCATACCAATCATTCCAAAGTGATGAGACAACTTTTAGCACTCCATATCATTCGTTTCAAACTCAATATCAACTGTTTTCAAACCCCACTTGAAACATACCAATCTCAGTATCACCCGTTTCAAAGCCATGAGACGTATGAAACTCCATATTAGTCATACAATACTCTATATAAGTCATACAAAAATCGTTCGATGTATCAATACCAAGATCTACCATCTGATTATGGCATTCGTATATCTGAAATTTTTGGCGATGAATATGAAGTCAATTTAGATGACACTGAAAATGCATTTGAGAAATATAAAAGTTGATCTTGATCCTTATTATGGGGTTGTTTCGGTGGATTGTTTGTATCATCCCAATATTAGATGAATATCTACGGATACAATCAGATAGTAGTGATAGCGAATCGGATACGAAAGATAAAGAAGAGGCTGAGGAGGAAGATAAAGAAGATCTTGGTAGGGGTAATATTAGTGCTCCAGTGGGTTGTAATTTATTTTGGGACATGCCTCCCCATTACCAATGTTAGTACCTATTGTGAAGCCTAAAGAACTGGCCCCTAAATATCAAGGTTCTAAACGAGTGAAAGTTGGGAAAATTTTCAAAAGTAAAGAAGACTTGAAACTAGCACTGTGACTGAAATGTCTTGAAGAGGGTTATTAGATAAAAACCACTCGCTCCACGCGATCTAGGTTCGAAGCAGTATGTATATTAGAAAAGTGCAAATGGCAAATAAGAGGAACCATAATTAACAGTACAACGTTGTATCAGGTTCGTACATTTAAGGACTTACACACATGTTCACAAACGCAAGTGTATCCCGATCACTGTAAAGCAAACAAGAAGGTCATAAGTCATATACTGAAAGATGCAATGAATAACACAAGTAGAGTATATAAGAGCCATGACATCATCGTCGATATGAAGAACAACTGCAAAATCTCAGTTAGCTATATGCAAGCTTGGCGTGCAAAGTGTTATGTCATTCTTCTGCTAAGAGGTGACCCGGAGAATCGTTTTCCATACTCCTGGTATATTGTTACAATTTGGAAAAAGGCTAATCCATGGACCGTAACGAAGATTGAGATGGATGAAAGGGCACGATTTGAGCATTTGTTTGTCACCATTGGTTGTGCGGTAAGAACATTTTCATTGGGTCTTTTATTGAAATTATATGCATAAATATACACTATTTTTATTTATACTCATTTTGTTAGTTCTTTTTCAATTTTTACAGATTCAATCGTTTGTGAATCACTTACGACGGTTAATTGTTATAGACGATGCTCATTTGAAAGGTCCTTACTTAGGTACCATGTTTTTGCGATTGGCATGGACGGGAACAATCAAATTTTGCCTATTGCTTACAAGGAGGTAAGACAAAGAGTGGGGAGTCTTGGACATCGTTTTTATCCAAGTTGAAAGAATGCATCAGTGAGCCAGAAAATTTGTGCATCATATCTGATTGGGCTTCTTCCATCAACATGGCGATTAGATCTGTATTTCCTACCATGAATCACAGGCTTTGTTGTCGATATATGTTGATCCTCTCTCTCATTGATTTGATGATAATCTCTTTTACTTTTTACAAAGTATTATTGTTTTTGTCTTTCAGTTCCAGCGATCATCACTGAGTCTATTAAGTGATCGCTGAGRCATGTATTGTAAATCCATCAGCGACAGTGATACTTCAAGAAGACAAAACTCACACCAAAGAACATTCAACAAAAGTCGAAGACTGAAACTGAAGATTAGAGACTAGCGCATTCATGATCTGAAGCGGCATTCGGTGATTACAACATGGTCAACATATGTGTGAAGACTGCCCAAGTCTCAGCGAATGCTGAAGAGACCTTTAGGGTTATTCCAGCATTCAGTGATCAAATGAAGCTTGTTGTGCAAGATTGTTTTGTCTTGTCCTTCCACACACAAAGGACAAACCCATACCCTTTCTAGAGTATAGTACAGTTGGAGTAGATTAGTTGACTCTACTACCCACCAACTCCATGAAATGATGTTTGCTCATGAATAGGGTTTTGTACTATTCATTGTAGCAAAAGACAAGTCTTTCTCTAAAGTCTTGACGCATGTTCAAACCCTACTGCATTGCATTAAATGTGCATTTAATGCAATGGGTATAAATAGATGTGTGTATGTTCATGCAGAGATACCTAACCTTAATCCTTACGAGTATACGTGAAAGAACACACACATCTAAGAACACTTATGCTTATCTTCAAACAACTTAGAATCCCTTTTCAAGTATTCTAAATAGTTCTTACCCAGAAAGAACTCATTTTCTTCTTAGTCTTAAACAACAAATCTTTTCTTTTTGCTAAGATCATTTGTGTGTAACTTAGATTGTTTAGATAGGTTATCTTTACCTTATCTTATTCCGCGTACAATCTTGTAAAATTTGTATTGATCATTCTTTATCAATATATATTTTAAATCTAAAAAGTTTACTGTGTTTGTATTCATCCCCCCTTCTACAAATTGTTTCTAAATATCTTGTAGACAAGTGGTATCAAGGCAGTGTTTTCTTTTCTTGTTGTTTAGTTGTTTTTCTGCATTTATTATCTCTTTCTCTGTAGATAATTTATTGCTTTCAAATGGTTTCACAAAACACAAACACACACTTTCATGATAATGGCTCTCTTTCCAAACCTTCCCGATTTATCCGAGACAACTTTAGTCTTTGGAAGAATCGAATGTCTCTCTTTCTGGAAGGTGTGGATCCTGAAATTCCACACTATAAAGAAACTGGACCATATGTTCAATATGCTATTTCTCTGGTTGTTTCTGAAACAGCTACGACTGTCGTGATTCCTAAACGACAGATTCCTAAGCTCTCTTATCAATGGAGTGATGAAGACAAGAAGAAGATAGCTATATAGACACTCGTGCTAGGCCTATAATAGCTATGTCTCTTCCTGACGAGGTTTTATCACTCTGTGATGAAGATGAGAACCTCGAAATCAATGTGGGACACTCTATGTTTTCAATATGAAGGAACTTCTCAGGTTCAAGAATCGAGGAATATTAACCTAGTAAGACAATACGAAAGCTTTCTCTGTGGAAAAACTGAGACATTGTCTGAAGTACACCAACAGTTTAATTGTCTTCTTATCGATTTAAGGACTATTGGCAGAGAATATCCAATTATGAAACTTTAACGAAGTTTCTGGAATGTTTACCTGAGTCTTGGGATACTTATGTCATATGTCTCAAGATGTCCAATGACATGTCCTCTCTCTCTCTCTCTTAGCACCTTATATGGGATACTGCTCAATCATGAGCAGTCTTGACAACTGAAAATGAATCTAATCAAGAATTCTAGAAATGAAGAGCTCTCTATTAGCTCTGATATTTGAAGATACTTCAACTGAACTCCCATCTTCTTCTTCTTCTTCTTCTTCTTCTTCTTCTTCTTCTTCTTTAGTTCTTCCTCCTGTTACTATCACTGAGTTAGATTCTACTAACTCTGAGGATCTATCAGAGTCTAATATTGCAGACTTTGTTGACTAAATCTTTTAGAAGATTCACCAGGAAAAGCAACTTCCGCAGATCTCCATCGCTGACCATCAAGGAAAAGCCAAAGTCAGATAATATTGACAATTCTTCAGCGATCTGCTACAATTGTCACCGCAAAGGTCACTTTACTGGTGAGTGCAGGTCTAAGAAGGTTGTGACGCCATCTTCAAAAACCCCATCCTTCTTCAGATCTAAAGATGACAAATACCTGAAGCTGAAGGAGAAGTACAAGAAGATGAAGAGTTCCCAGCGAAAGGCCAAAGGTCTTGTCGCTAAAGACCATTCTGGGTTGATTCCTCTGATGAATCATCGTTTGATGAGGAAGATACGGCCTATCTCTACTTATTGGCCAAGGATGTCAAAGAAGAAGCTTCTAAGACGTCAACTTCTAATGATCCCTCATCATCATCTCCTTCTCAGGTATGTCTTCTAAATGAACCTTCTTCTTCTTCCTCCTCTAGCCTATCAGCGTTAGATACGCTGACGGTAGACCTTTACAATGCCCTGAATGGCAAATCTAAAGCGAAAATGCTTAATCTTGATCTTCAAGAACAGTTGAAGATTTATCATTCAAAGATCAAAGAGTTGACTAAGATCGAAGAAGATCTTAAAGATCAGGTCATTGTGAACCAAACCATCACT